AGTCTTTCCCGGACCCCAGGGGGGGGGGGTGGGGGGCGAAGAACCCCCCAATTCCCCCCACCCGGAGAAAAAAAAGACAAACCCCGCAAAAAAAAAAAAAAAAAAAAAAAAAAAAAAGCTATAAAATACATCCTATAGGTTTATTATCAAGAAAATGCTGATGACTATAATTAGGACTATACATTTAGTTGAGAGTGAGAGCTAGATTAGTAAATAAAATTGTCTATAAACATTTGTAAATCAGTTACGCTTAAGTGAAGAGCAGAGACAGCTCCTGGCTCTGCATGGGGGCGAAGTCTTCGCTGTTCCCGGGAAAGCTCCCAGCTGACCACTGCCCTCTTCTCTTGGAAAGCGCCACAGCTACCTTCTCACCACTCCTAGGGCAATTTTCCAGCCTGAGGTGCAAAACTGCTTCCAGGTCCTCGCCATTCTTGTTTGTCCCTGGCAGTTCACTTTGATTCTCAAAAGACCATTAAAAACCCCTTCCAGATCCTCGGGGATCCCTGGCCATGTAAGCTCTGCAACCAACAGTAGTCTTTCTAGTACAAAGTTTCTAAAGCTTTCCACAGCCTCTAGCTCAGTCTCTCCCTCTCCAGTCTGGCCACAGACCCCCAGGGACCTATCTGCCATCTCTTGGAAATTTATTTCTAAATTCCCCACTCCCCGTCCTGCCTTTCCAGGACTTGGAGTTGCAATAGTTTGCCCAGTTCCCCTTTTCCTTGTAGTCTTTAAAGATAAGTCCACAGGTTTTTCATTTGTTTATAAGATTTACTCTCCATCAGGAAATGAAAATAAACATAGGGAAGCTGGTAAGTCACAGCTCCCCACCCCCAGCCCTCGCTCTGAGAAAGCCTCTAGCAAGGCTCAGATGCTTCCATCTTAAGGTTAAATCACACCAAACAATAGACACCCTTTGGTTTCACCTCAGTGGTAGGAATGTGCCTAGTGCCATGGGTCTCCTGCCCCACACAGGATTTCTCTGTATTCCTTAGAGTGTTTCTTCAACACGAGTTCAACCTCGATCTGATTAGTCCCCAAAGAGATGCAAATCAAATGAGATACGATTTTTGTTCTATCAAGAGGGCACAAAAATAAAAAAATAAAAATGAAGCCTGATAATAGCCTGTTTGGGCCAGCTTGCTGGGAAGCGGACTCATTTTTATACTGCTGGAGGAGTTTGGCATTAAGAGCCTTAAATTCGTTCATCCTCTTCAACCCAGTAATCCCACTTCTAGAAAAATATCCTAAGGAAATAATCAAGAGATGCATCAAGAATTTATGAACAAAAGATACTCACTGCAGAGCCATCACTGAGAAGAACCAGAAAGGACTTACATGCCTCTCAGGTGGGGCCTGGCTCTGCAAATCTTTATCTATCTCTCTGATGGAACGGGGTGCATCCAGTCATGCAGTCATCCGTGCCACAAGTAGTTATTCAGTACTTACTCTGCGTTAGGTAAACAATGCAGAGTATTGTTAACTTGGCTGGGTAAACAGGTAAGTTAGCCCCCCGGAAGACGCAGTCGCTAAAATCCATGATCTCCTAAAGTAAAACAATTTAAAATTGTTCACATTATTTGTGTGTGTGTCTGGGAGGCATTTTATCGCCCTTCACCTCTCATTCCCCCCTCCCCCGCCACTGCCTCAAGCAGTTGTCAAATTCAAATAATTTTTCCTTCAATACCTCTCCAGTCTGTGACCTCTTCTTTTCTTTCAAAAGCAAATCCTAAGGCTAGGAGGTAACCGGATCACCCACCGAGGAAAGAACACCGACCTGGAAATCTTCGGATTGGTTTCTGGTTCCAGGAAGTTGCGCGACTTTGGGCAAATCACGTCACCTCTGGGAGTGTTTCTAATCAGAATAAAGGGCTGGACCAATCTTCCAGATCCTTTGAATCCAATCATTTTGGCTTTATGACAGAACCGTCTGTAGATGAGGGCATCTGAACCCCAGTTAAAGGAAGGGGATACAGTGAAGCCCCTGAAGATCTGAGACGCTTTTCCTGGACATTTAAAAGGCAAAGGGCTGTCTAGAGTGAAAGTATAAGACAGACAGGCCCTGTCCCAGGCAGCTCCCTGCACTCTGCTCTTCTTTCCAGCAGATCCCAAGCTCACAGCCAGGTTTAGCAAACAGGCCTGTCATCCTTTCAGGTGCGATGTAATATCAAGAAGCAGCAGCTGACAATTATTAGGTGAGACTAGGGGCAGGCGATTTGCAGTTCCCTCCCTTTCACACAAAACTATGAGGTCTGTTTTGCTATTCTCATTCTAAAGGCAAAATGGAGGCTCACGGAGGTTACAGAACTTATGGGAAGTGACAGGGCTATTTGCCACCTTTATACTGGCCGGTCTTCCTCTTTTTCTCAAAGGGTGGCGTGGGGGAGCAGCCTCCTGTGTTATCACCCTTTCCTTCGGCAGAAAACAGAAGTGTAGGTCACTGTAGTAGGACAAGTTTGTTGATTACCAACTGGGAGACAGAGATGAGATGACTCACAAGCATGTAGGTTAGCAGGGCTGCACAAGTTTATAAGTTATCTTCGAATCTCCTGCAGCCCCATTCTTTCATTTGGTAACCGACCTCCTCCCTGCCCTTATCCTCATAGCACCCTTCCCCCAGTAGGGTGAAGGGTCGGCTGTGAAAATGCAGTCAGGAAGGAACAATGAATGTCCTCTCTCCGCTGGGGAGAAATACAATTTGCATCTCAGATGAGCTCAGATTGGTGACGCCTCCTTTGGACTCTGATCCTTG